GCCGAACAGGCTCGGCACATGACGAACTCACCAGATGGAATCAAGTCAGATATGTATGTATGTATGTATGTATGTATGTATGTATCTATTAATGTTAAAGAACTGGCCGGGGAACATTGCTGCAGTGCACTCTTTTTCTTTCTGCGAGGGGCCTAGTCGCGCGCGGCCGTCGTCCCGTGCCCGGCTGGGTGCATGAACCTGGCGAGGATCGATCGCATCAGGGCCGCCGCCCGCCGGTACCTGCAACTGGCCAACTTGTTTATCGCCAAGTTGCGCGATACATTTATCCCTCCCATGCATGACGTCGTCGTCGTCGTCGTCGGGTGCGTGCGTACCAAAAACCAGAGCGTACGGCTTCGCTTCGCCCCAGCCGCCAAACCGCCGATCGGCTTGCAATGTGGGGGCCGGCCGGAATTGATCGAGGTCCTTCTTCTCGACGTCGAAGCTGAACTGCTTACTGAGGGAGCAGTCGGCGTCGGCGTCGGCGTCGACAGCCAGTCATCAGCCACTTGTACAGCACACACATTCCTCGTAGTAGTGCGCGGTGGGGGGGATCGACTGTTGGCGTTAGCGATGAGACGAGCAAGGGGGACAGCAGGGGGGATCGTCTCGGTCAGCTACTAGCTCACGAGGACCAGCGTAAAGAAGCACGAGCTGCACAGCACAGTCACGGCGCCGTCACCATGCAACCAGACCTCAGAAAAGCCGGAACCATCCAACGACGACGACGTTGCTTGCGCAAGGGAGGAAGAAAGAATAACAGCGGAACGGATCGGAGGGCATCGCGTGAGTCACAAGCGTGACGGTACTCCTACTCCATCGATGCGCGTCACGGGCCGGTTGGTTTTATCGTACTATATGCTAGCTAGTATATGTAGCTTACCAGTACTTGCTTTCCTTAGAGGAATAGTACATCGTACTGGCTATAGTGGTGGCAGTACAAGTTGTTTGTTCTGCAGAAAGATGCAAAAGAGAAACGGAGGAGCAATTCAGCGGCGCGCATGCGACGCCAAGCCAAGCACCAACAACATAACCTGGCACAATCATCACACCCCATCGCCGAGCCATCCAACCCCCAGTGGGCAGTGGCGGACTCCAGCGATCGGCAACGTGAAACACACCACCTCACCTCACAACACATAGTCGTCGTTCACCCATCAAAAAAGCACTCGCCTCGCTGAAAAAAGAAAAGCAAATTAAAATCCAATAAAGGGAAGCATCCAACCTGCGCAGACTTGGTGATTTAATTATTTCCAAAAAGGGACCAGGAAACCACTGACATGATTTTTGGTTCTTCGGTGCATCAAGCAAAAGGTAGACGCCATCGAGACTCTAGCTAGTGGAGCAACAAAACAAGCCAAGAAGCGAGTCCAAGGGGAAAAGGTAGTGCCGGTGAACGCCGCAGCTGCTGATGGCTTGATGGTCCCATCCTGTATCTCAACCAGGATCTCTTCTGAGTTAGACGTTATTTGGACCTTAATTTTGTCACAGAGATAAGGCACGACACGACCTGTCGCGCTCTAGGGTAGCACGCGACCCTACCGTGCCCGCGGCCCTCCTTCCCGCCTCCCCCGCCACCACCATGGCCGTGCCCGCACCTGACCCAACCTGGCTCGGCCCCTCCTCCGCCGCCTGCTCCGACGGCGTCACCACCGCCTCCGCCTGGCCGTTGTCTCTCCTGTGCCGTCATGTCGGTCTGCCTCCCTTGGCCCCTTCTAAGGCCGTTGGAGGTGGAGAAGAAGAGGGGCTCGTTGCGGCGGCCGCGGTCATGCAAGCCGAGGAGGTAGCGCGACCGGTCGCCTAATAGATTTTGCGTTAATTATGGTACTCCTAGCTCTGAACTTCTCTACCGTCTAGATAGCTTGAGGTGTGTGTGCTTCCTGCTTCCTGCCGGTCGGCCCTTGTTACTTGTTAGGCCCTGGAAGCCACAACTTGGGTGCTCCCTGTAGTCCAGCAATTTGGCCCCAAAAGCCTGGCCTCAATTGGACGATGGAGGCCATCTGTAGGCCGGCAGCCCGGCAAGCAGTTTGGCCCAGACAGCCTGAAGCCGGTAGTACTGTGGACCCTTTCTGTATGTAGGCCGGTAGTTTGGCCCACAAAAAGTCTCAGTGCTTCCCATTGGGCCCACACACAGCCAGCACTGAAGCAATCTCCATCTCTGACGCACCCAGACATTTCAACAGAGTCTAATAATATTGGACGCTCCTATCTCTTAAAATAATCTGATATGCCCAGTGTTGATCCTGAGTTTTTCGGGGCCTGAAGCCCAATCAAAACTCAGAGCCCTTTATATAAATATATAAAATTATTCAACACGTATATATATTTTTTGGCACTCAACATGTATCGAAAAGCAATACTCATATAAAATAAATATACATATTAAATATACCTTAAAAATTGCTCCTAACATTCCTCGATGCAAAGTCGTTGACAATGACATCAATATCAATCTCATTCAATAGTTTCTTTCTCAATGCATAATGTTGCCAATTGAGAGATTAAAAGGAAGCAAAGAGAGCGTATATAATTAGCGTACCCTAACGGATGAATTTGATTCTCAATTGAGAGATTCAAAGGAAGCGAAGAGAATGTACTGATTCTGCTTGAGAGCCCGAGACGATTCAGAGGCCTGGCAGGGGCAGCACAAGTGTCAAGCAGGAGAGGCGAGGCGACGGTGTCCTCCGGCCTCGCGAACTGGCGCGTTTCTATCTTGCAAGCAATGGATGATTTTGCATGTGTTGCAGTAACAAATTTGAAATGTTGCGGCAAAAACATTCTGTTGCTACAAGTTTTTATCATTTGTTCCTATCACTCCCTACTTTTGCTCTTCTCTTCAAACCAGAATTCATGCCCCTCGGGTTACAGTTGCCACCACATCCATATATCACTAGTTTATATTTACAAGATTGATATAGATTTCCTACTGCTTTGAGTATCTTGATACAAAATTGTACTGTTCACGGCTGAAATTTACTGTTTACAGCTGATTTTCTCTCACAAATTCCTCCAGATTCCTCCAAGCGAACGGGGCCATGTCGGGGTGCCTTTTCTATTGGCTGTAGATGCAGCTACTATCATATTTCGATAAACATGTCACAAATTCATAATTCTGTTTCCTACATTTTTACATGCCTATGTTTTTGTGTGTCAGTGTAGATCGGGTGTATGTTCATTCAAAGAGGCACTCATGAGTCATACACACATGCGGAGCAAGCAAAACTATTCTTCCAGGTAATCAGTTTCTTTTAATATCTCCCAGGGTAAAGATCGATATCTGCACTTCCCATACTTACGAATTTTGAAAAAAGTAGTTAGCCGGAACCTCAGTTAGATATCTATGAAAAAAATGGTACATTATAGTTCAAGCTGTCCAAATTCCGCTGGCTGCTGGCACAATAAACTTCAGTTGTTATACGTACATCCTCCTTTTTCATGCCCACTATGATAAAAATTGATAGAATAAACATGGCCGTTCATTTATTTAATTTTTTTACTTCTTCCAGTCTAAGACGTCAAATAATTCTTTCCCCAAAATGTTATGATCAAAATTGATAGAATAAACATGGCCATCAAATAATTCTTTCCCCAAAATGTTATGATCAAGTGATTTATTTTCAGTTCTAAGATGTTTTTTGTAATCATACTTCAAAGTTTACACAACAACGCGCGGGGTATCACCTGTTTTAGAAGTTAATATGTCAAAGTCTCCTTATAACAAAATACCAATTCAGTTATCCACATATATAGAAGCTTCCTAATGGGAAGGAAATATCATTTGTCTAAATGAGATAAATAACTCCCAAGCTAAAGAGCCTCAGGCACAGGCTCAGGCTCCTACTCGAGGGAGGCAGGAAGCCGTGCGTGAGGGACTGCACTAATCTCAACCGGTAACTAGAGATGAAGCCTAAAATGCACACAATCACTAATCGAACGCCATCAACAAGGATGACAACCAAAGCAGCAAATCGAGCAAATCCGAACCATCAATGCGAAACGCCTGCTCGAACCCTAGGTCAGACAAGGAAGCCTGAAATTCCAACCATCCCCAAACACAGAAGATAACAGATCCATGAATTAAATACGAACCTGACATCTAGAACGAGAAATAGCACGTGAACATACCCTAACAACGAACATTTCCAGGAGTCAAAGGAAGCAAAAAGAAAAGAACCTTGCAAACTCTTGGAATCACAGCTCACCTGTCCCCTGTGAGCGCCGCTGGGAACAAGAAGAGGAAGGGGAAATAAAATTGTGAGACAGAAATGAAACAAAAACCAAAAAAATCAGGCGCGACTCCTGATTACGAAACAATAGCGCCAAGAAGTGGCCCTGCATATCAGAGACACAAAGCAAACAACATCAACGGAGACAGATGGGACGGAAGATGGAAGAAGAGGTATTTGATCCAGCGCCACAAGATCTAGTGCCGTCGGCTGCCAAAACAAGAGTGTTTAGCAGTTCATTGTTTTACATAGAAAATATGTTCAACGCAATAAGAGAAGCACGTAAAACACAGTAAGATCACTCACCAACAAAAAAGACACTAGAATGTCATGTCGTTTCAACCCATTACAGTGCAAGTTACACAACGCACGAACGTATCGATCGATGGAAGCGATAGTTCGTTTCAATTCTCTCTTGATCGGAGTATTCGATCAATCAGATGGATCAATGGAGGCGACAAAGGACGGCCGGCGACGCACATCATTATACAGCAGCTAGACGAGACGTACTTCAGGGGGCGGGGGGCGGTGGCGGCCGGCTCGAGGAAGCGCCATCGTCCAGCCGGCGGGCGTCATCGGTCATCATCTCAGTTACATCATCAGCAGCAGCATCACCTGCTCTATATTGCGACTCTCGACTCTGCCAACAAATAAAAAGCATCGACTACTGTGTGTAAATAAATGACGGATATAAAACACACATTATTTCTATCTATCCATAGAGAGAGAAAGTTATTAGCTAGATATATAGGACCGGCAGGTAGAGAGAGGCATCTACCTGATGATGATGATGATTCGAGTCGAGGTCCTCCCAAGAGCGAATCCGAAAGATGTAATCCCACCCCATCTTGACGCCCTGGGATCAAGGCGCCACTTGTGGATGCCGGCGTGATAGAGCAGAGCCCAGAGATGCGTGATGAGCTCACCGCCCTGCGACAGATGCTGCAAGTGCTCGTCCACCTTGTCCGACGGCGCTGCGTACACCGATGCCTTCACCCAGAATTCCGCCAGCAATTTCCACCGATCAGCAGCAGCAGGCATGCTTGTGTGGAGTCCCTCCCCCAGCTTGACACCCGCCGCATAGATGAAGCATCCGGCATAGTAGGCGTCAAGATTGGTTATCCCAGGTTGAGCAAAGTCTTGCCTAAGCCAAATGTTTCGAAAAACAAAGTGATCCCTAAACTCGTCCTGGCCAAACTCTCTCATTGCCCGCAACCTGTCTGCAAACTTGTGTACGCTCCAAATTGCCACTTCCCTAACTCCAGCGTACATTGCTCTTTTTGTAGTGTCAGAGCCCCCAGGGAGTAATCCTGGCGCTGAAGCCACCAAGTATGCGCAGTATTAGGACAGATAGCAGATGGCCACGCGATGATGCTTCTTTGCATTGTCATTGCCCGTGCTCTGCTGCAAGAAACCTTGGTCGTCGCGCTGCTGCGCCAGTTCACAGTAGCACGTTGCAATGTGCCACATCAGAACACAAACGTAAAACTCATTAGACAATTCTTTAGCAGCACTTCGGAACCAGCGGTCATTATAACCATATCCCCAAAGGTTATCTTGTGGGAGGCTACTCTGTCCATTATTTCCATCCTTGGAGGAAGCCCAACTGCTCACTCCATTGGACTCGATCTTCTTACTAACGAACTCACCAATGGCTTCCTTCACATCAGCATGCATGCAGCTCAACGGCACCCCCTGTGTTGCTGCCCGGCAATGTTTCCTGGAGCACTCGGCCCATGTACCGCAATCCAAACACCTACTGACATTTCTCGATGATGCGGACCAGGTGGAGTCCACATTTACTTCTCGACCCAATGCAGCGCAAAAGAGTCTGGCCGCGCTCCATGTATCCGCAGAATAACCACCGACGGCAGTGACCGGGACCGGGCAAGCTGATTGATTCAAGTAGAGAATGCTGACCGAGCTTATTTTGCCAGAGGTATTGGTGTTTGTCAGACCAATTAATCCTGATAAGAGATGCCCTCAGCCTAATTCCCCAGCTCATCGTCCCCACCACATCCTTCGCCGTCCATGGTTTGTCGTCCTCCAGCTCCACATCCCTAATCTTCCTAGCGCAATCACAGGCAAAGGCAACTCTCGCCCAGTTTGAGGTCCAGCAGCGTAGCAACTGCAGCACCTGCAACAGAGCTAGAGACACCAGTATTACTCCGGTAATAATAAATTCCACTACTGTGGTGTGCACAATGATGTTGCCGGGAGAAGCATGGCGTGTTGTCCTCGGCTCCTCGCCCCAGGTATGACAGCCACTGCCCCAACAAAACATACCCCAGTAAGCGAAGCAAATGCCCAGACGCTAGCACTACTCGCTTCGTAGTAATCGAGGAATGCATTGCTGGTGTACAATATGTCATACAGGAAAGCCAACTCAATCTCAACCACCTTGAACGCCCGCTCATAGTTTGGAATCAAGGGCTGGGCGCTGGCCTTCGCTGCTGGTTCAATGCTACTTAAACCAAGAAAGCGCCGTTGCAACATATGAGAGAGAGAGAGAGAGGGAGAGGCACACTTCCTTGCAGGCACTGAGATCTGATTCTAGCTTATTGTCACCTTCGCACCTCCTGCAAGCTATAGCTATCTCACGCATCTCAAACGTCCTAAACCTTGGCTTGAACATTGTCATTACTTCGTCAATCGGCATGTCCACAAACAAGCTGATTTCTTCATCAGGGTCTCTGAAAGAAAACTCTCGATTGAAATCTGGAATGTCTCTGACCATGTTCCGCATAGAACTTGGTACCACAAGTGCCATTGACCTATGAAATCCCTTGATGAAAGTCACGGCAGACAACACGCAGATGGCTATGTTACCAATATCACTGGAGATGGTTGAGATGCGCATCAAAAGAACATATCCAAAGTAGAGGCAGAGCTGATACAACATCTTCCAGAGCTGGCTCCTGTTGTCGAGGCCAGAGCCAGACGCGGCGGCTGAGTCCACGCAGCATAGGAGGGCCAGTAAGGATACCGCCCATATGGGGTACATCTCGCTCTTCACCGGCGAAGATTGCATTAGGCCAATGCTGTATGTCCCTAGGGATAGAAACACCGCATTTGCAGCGAAGAAGCCCTTTTGTATGAACCAACTATTGGACCAACGCCGGCAGGAACCGAAGGCAGCAAGGAAGAAGGACAGAGCAATGGCCACCAGCGCTAATGCCTCAATTCAGAGCACTGTTCCCCTAGGACTATTCCACAGATCTCTCAGCTCATGCGGAATGCTTGTTGATGTTGCATTTTCCAAGTACTGTTGATGACGACCCATATTCCCCATTCGACGGTAATGCACCTCGGAATAGGAAGACTACGTGTCATATATAAATATATATAATTATATACTAATCTAATAGAAGTAACTAGTCAACCTTGGAATACAAGTAGGATCTGAACAACTTTAAATATAGCACCAACAAATATATGGAATTTTTAGAACAAAACTGGAACTAGTTTCATATTTTTATGATTTAAAATAAATTAAAATCATTAATTTCTTAAGATCAAACTAGAATTTTTTTATTATTAAAAAATAGAAAACCACTTTTGAAGCTGGCCAGAGGACCAAATTGTCTGATTTCGACAGTTTGAAGGTGTGTGTTGCCTGCTTTCATAGTTCAATGTTGAAACTCGGACTACGTTGTAAGTTGGAGGTTGGAAAATATACTTTACCCACTGTTCAAAAAAATATACTTTACCCAAAAAGAATTTAGCACCCAAATTAGGGATGCAATGTGGCTGAAGCCTTGGAGATGATCGACTAGTACACACTACCTAGCATCCTAGTTCCTACACTACGTATACAGCTTATGAATTGCTACTCTACTGTTTTTTTTAGCATAATTAGCAGTATTTTATTTTGTTTGGAACTTCTCTCCAACATTTGTTTTCTAACAAAATGTCGGATTAGGGAGGGGGCTAGGAGGTTCCCTCTCACCCCACCGGCGTGTATCTCCACTAAGTCATTGAGAATGGAGAGGTGGATGGAATAAAATGAAGAAAGAGAAACAGGGAGGAGATCAGTAAGGTAAGAGGCAAAGGTAGGCGATGTATCCATGACTCCTCATTTGGATTTGCTGAACTGGACTGTTATTGCAATCCGGCTTCTAGCCGGTAGATTGGTGGTGGTGCAAGAGAACAACATCCAAGGCCCATTTTCCTTTTTTTTGTTTCTTATATTAATGTTATATACACATATAGCTGTTTAAGATGAAAAGAAACCGGAGACCTCGTGAATGCAAAAGCTACCAAAAGCTTTTCAGGAAAAAAAAAATAGGCCCATTTGATTTGCCTCAGTAACAGCAGCAAGACTAATTGGACAAGTCCGAATTATTCCCAGTGCAAGTGGCTTAAAAATAATATACTATAATCACTTCCACAGATAAATTAGTTTTCGCGTGACAAATCAGAAATCACATACCATATTTTCTCTCGCTTTTGTTTTCCTAGCTCAGTTGAGTTTTCCTGTGCGCCAGCCTTCTTCCCGCTCCTTGCCTCCAGAGTTGGGCTGCTGCGGTCTTCTGAACGCTGCAGCGTTTCCTCTTCAATAGAAAAGGGTGCTCTTGAGTTGAGAGTACAAGTTTCCCGATGCGGCAGAATTTTGGATGGTTTAGATGATTAGATCTAGTTTGACATAGCTCTCTAAATAGTTTGGATGCTCTTGAGAGTATGCGTGTTGGCTTGCAGTCTTTTTTTTATTCTTTGCTCATAACCAAAGTATTCTGCTTTCTGTTAACAGATAGATCGGCAATGGTGATCACGCTGCGTGGCTAGTGCTCTACATCATTTGCATTCTCCTTTACCTTTTTCTTTTTTTTTAGTTTCACCTGTTTAAAATTTTAAATAAATTTATTCAAAGACACTATACATTGTTGGTTAACGTTAAACAGGATAACAGAGTTTTTTTTTCTTTTTTTGCATGCGCCAAGGATGTATTGTACATTTGTACTGCATGCTTCTCTTTCCCGGCCGCAGACTGCACGCCACCAAGACCATGCACAAGAAACACATCCATTCCTTACGGGCCTGTTTGGTTCACTTCTCCGATCCTAACCTGGCTAGAAATTAAAATAAGCCAGGCTAGACCAATCCTGTCTTGAGCAATACACAGACACCTTGTTTGGTTGATGTACAAGTTAAACCTGCACCGTGTAGAGCTGTGTTTGGTTGCCTGGCATGCCATGATGTAGTAACCTCGTCATCTTTGTCAGGGTGAGCTTAGCTCCTTCACTTGCAGCTAGGCATTTTGTCGAACACTTGACATGCACGTACCTGAGCATGGCCAGGACGAACCACCACTGCCTCCATCGCCGGTGGTGATGACCTCCCTCACCATACGCGCCATGGTGACGCCGCGGCGCCACCGCTGCCCCTCCATGCGCCCTCTCCAAGCTGCGGCCCCTCCGTCGCGTGGGCCGCTTGAGCTGCGGCTAGCAATGACGGAGCTAGAAAAAAATTATAGGTGGGACGGAAATGAACTAAAAAGGCATTGTATTCACAACGCACTGCATTTACATACTACAATCACACAAATCATGGCAAAATCGTTGCTATCACACAATTATGGTGAAAAGTAGATGAGAAACACAAGATGTTACCTCAAATTTAAAAAATAAACTAGTAGTTCATCGGTTGATCCATGCATTGCAAAATACAAATAACTAAGAATGGGTCAACCCGTAGATTGAATGAATATCAATTAGCATCTTAGCGAGTAACAATAAAATGAAGGTAGCCCTCAAATAATAGTGGGCATTATAAGAATATACTTACTAGTGGTGAAGGACTAAGAACGTTTTACCCCATTGCTAGACGCCAACTCCTGCTCGGCTGCTCCTCGACGGGCGCACTTGGTGACCTGGGCACCTGCCGGCGGGCGGATGGGCGGTGGCTGGCCGGCGGCCGCTAGCGCATGGGGGCGGCCGGCAGATGGGGTAGCGCCGTGGTGCAGGTGTGCAGCGGCAGGCGGTGGCTGGCGGCCTGGCGGAGCGGCGGCAGGCGGTAGAATTGCGGCGGATGCGCTCAAGCTCGATGCTGACAGGGAGTCGCGCCGGATGTGGGATACGCTCGATTGGGGATTTGGGGGATTGGGGAACCAAACTAGGCCCTTACTGGGCTAAACTAAACTAACAAAGAAGGGCCAGTGTCCCAACAACAACCATGGACTAATGTCGCTCGACGCTCGTTCGTCGCCATGGCGCTCTGCTCGGCAACTCGTGACCTCGGCAGCTGGAGATAGGGAAGAAGAGGGGGTCCATGGGTTTGAGGTTACGCCATCGATAGCTGGGGCGGCCGCCCCACCATGCCCCTAGGGCAGCTCCGTCATTGGTGGCTAGGCACAATGGGGATTGGGGATGCAGCGACGTTGAGCTCCGGTTTGGTGGCAACGGCCACGGGGACGAAGAGCTCCATCGCCAGCGTCCAGCTTTGGTGGTGGCGGTGGCAACGTTGAAGAGCTCCGTCTGGGACCACGCCCCCACGCGCTTGCGCCGGTGCCATGGGAGATGAGACCTCAACGCCGGGGACATGGTCGGAGTGCTCGACGACGATGGCTGCGGCAGGGGCGGGGGCTGGAAGAAGCGAGGTAGGTGACGCGATTCACATCCGAGGCCACCGATGAGAGAACAACCGTCCATCTCATTTCCGTGGAGGGCTAAGGAGATGTTGCACTAGATTAGACAGGCTAAAGACACTTCACAGGCAACCAAACATGTCGCACCCTCCTGTTCCTCCCTCAAAAAAAAACATGTAGCCTCTAGCAAGCCTGGGCTACGGCTTGTTGCATGCGTCTGGCCAGGAGCTTGGCTACGGCTTTTACGTTTTGTTTGTCTTTCGGCCTTCGGAAGTGCTAGCACCTCGGACGGACGTCCGCGTCCGAATGACCGCAGGCCGCACTCCATTTCACGCTCCACGCAGGCCCCACCTCGCACGACAAGAGGGAAAGGGTGCGCGGCGCCTCTGATTCAGAAGGACCCAGCCATGGCGTCGTTTGGATGCCCTGCCGACACCGGGAGAGATGATGCAGTAGAAGGTGGGCAGGAGAGATGTAACACCCGATCTATTTTTAAAACATCCAAATACAATTGTTGCAACATACGCCTGAAGGTAGTTAAAATACTTGAAACATGCTTCTGAAAACACTTGAAAAAACACCTGAAAACACTTGAAAACCATTGCAACCAATACACAACATCCAAATAAAACACATGCAATGTATATGTTGAAACATATGCAACATTCAGATAAACACACTTGCATCATGCGTCAAAAAAACACAGATGAAACATAGCTCTGAAACATATGAAACACTCGAAACATACGCTTGCAACATGCCTCAAAAACAATTGCAACATCCCCCAATCTAAATTTGCAACGTCCATATGAAACAAATGCAGCATACATTTGAAACGTCTGAAATACTTGAAACATACATATGCAACATAGGGGTGGGGAAGGCTGGTCGCTCGATTCTAGCTACCGGGGTGGGGAGGAGCTCAGTCGCCACGGTGAGAGAGGGCGCCACGCCAGGGTGGCAAAGCCCACTCTCCTACAACACCGTCGCGCCACCTCCATGGATCTAGCCGGGGTGGGGGAGAGGGCCTTCGGATTCGCTGGCGTTAGACGCTCCACGTCGGTGAGGACACTGGGGTGGGGGAAGGGGCCATCGGGGTGGGGGAAAGGACCGCCGGGGTGGGAGAGGAGGGCGCCAGGGGGGAGGGCCCCCGGAGTGGGAGAGGAGGCCGCCGGGGTGGGAGAGCACGCCGCCGCTGGCCAGGGAAGCAGCCATGGCCGCATGTTGAGGTAGGCACGGGGTGCAAGCGCGAGGGACTGGGTGCGGGAGCGAGCGGAGTGCGGCGTCCATCCATTCCGGACGTCTTAATTGGAGTATTACCATTCGGCCTTTGTTTGTCTTTCAGCCTTTCCCGATGGTAGTATAACCCGTGTTCTCATAGCACAAAGTCACTAAAAAAGTATTTTATTTTTTCATCCTAA